CGCACATGCATTCACATGCGCACACGTGCAATGCTAAAATTTGAATGAACTTGGTACACTTTTGGGTAAACGTTTTAAAGTCTCAAATGCATAGAGTTTGTTTTATTTAATGAAGCTTACAGGGAATATGGCACCAAAAGGGCGTTGGGGGGGCGTTTGGGGAACATCTGTAACGGTCCCCGTTACAATTAGCACTAGTTATTATGTTCCCCAAACGGAGTTTGGGAACATATTGTTTTTACTCGGTTTCTTATTATTATTATTATTTTTTTTCTTATTTGTTCTCCGGTACTTTTTTGTCCGCGAGTGTTCTCAGAAACTGTTCACCCAACTGAGCTAAAACCTTTTTAGGGTTAATGGGTGTGTAGTGTAGGTGTGCGGAACGAAGGTCATTTTGCGCGCATACGCCTGCACGTGCGTGCGCGTGCAACACGTGAAATGACTGATATACTTAATAAAGCCACAACTTTTACATTTTTTAATGAATTGCTTTGAAACTTATTATATAAGGATATATTACAAGTGTAGATAATATGACACTGTCAAATTAGCACGAACTCACGCGCATGCACGTGCACTTCGCTCTGATTGGCTGAAACAAAAATCTCAATATCTTTTTTGTTTTTTGACGAAATGCTTTGAAATTTAGAACATAGTCATGTATTATAATATCCTACAACATGATATATAAAAATTTTCATGAAATCACGTGCATGCGCATGCGTGCCAATCTGATTGGCTGAAACTTTAAATGGCTTTATCTCCTTTGTTTTTTGATGAAATGCTTTGAAATTTAAAACGTGGTCATGTATTAAGATATCCTGCAATATGATATACAAAACAATTCAAGAAATCACGCGCATGCGCGTGTGCTGCAATCTGATTGGCTGAAACTTGAAAAGGCTATATCGCCTTTGCTTTTTGATGAAATGTTTTGAAATTTAAAACAGTCATTCATTAGGATGCCCTACAATACGATATAGAAAAAAATCATGAAATCACGCGCATGCACGTGTGCTACAATCTGATTGGCTGAAACTTGAAATGGCTATAACTCCCTTGTTTTTCAACCAAACAGGATGGGATTTAGAATATAGATAGATATTAGGGACTCCTACAAGATGGTATGGTCATCATGCACGTGCACGCACGTGCGTGCATTTAGAACGAGTGGTATTAAAAATACACTTAAATGAGTGATTTTTAATACTTTTGGACTGAATGCTTTCACATATAATATATTAAAATATATAGATAGTGTAGAAAAATGATAAAGTCATTACGCACCTGCATTCACATGTGCGCGGGGAAACGTTGTTAAAGTCGAAAATGTACAGAGTCTGTCTTATTTAATGAAGCTTACAGGGAATATGGCACCAAAGGGGAGTTGGGGAGCGTTTGGGGAACATCTGTAACGGTTCCCGTTACAATTAGCACTAGTTATTATTCTTTTTTTTCTTATTTGTTCTCCGGTACTTTTTTGTCCGGAAGTGTTCTCAGAAACTGTTCACCCAACTGACCTAAAACCTTTTTAGGGTTAATGGGTGTGTAGTGTAGGTGTGCGGAACGAAGGTCATTTTGCGCGCATACGCATGCACGTGCGTGCGCGTGCAACACGTGAAATGACTTATATACTTAATATAGCTATAACTTTTACATCTTTCAATGAAATGATTTGAAACTCATTATATAAAGATATATTAATAGTGTACATAATGTGACACTGTCAAATTAGCACGAACTCACGCGCATGCACGTGCGCTTCGCTCTGATTGGCTAAAACAAAAATCTCAGTATCTTCTCTGTTTTTTGACGAAATGCTTTGAAATTTAAAACATAATCATGAATTAGGATATCCTACAATATGATATAGAAAAAATTTCATGAAATCACGCGCATGCACGTGTGCTGCAATCTGATTGGCTGATACTTTAAATTACTTTATCGCCTTTGTTTTTTGACGAAATGCTTTGAAATTAAAAATATAGTCATACATTAGGATGTCCTGCAATATTATATACAAAAAATTTCAAGAAATTACGCGCATGCACGTGTGCTGCGATCTGATTGGCTGAAACTTTAAATGACTATATCTCCTTTGTTTTTTGACGAAATGCTTTGAAATTTAAAACATAATCATTCATTAGGATATCCTACAATGCGATATAGAAAAAAATCATGAAATCACGCGCATACACGTGTGCTGCAATCTGATTGGCTGAAACTTGAAATGGCTATAACTCCCTTGTTTTTCAACCAAACAGGATGGGATTCAGAACATAGATAAATATAAGGGACTCCTACAAGAAGGTATGGTCATCATGCACGTGCACGCACGTGCGTGCATTTGGAACGAATGAAATTAGAAATACACTTGAATGAGTTATTTTTAATACTTTTGGACTGAATGCTTTCTAATATAGTATATTACAGGGAATATGGCACTAAAAGGGAGTTGGGGAGCGTTTGGGGAACATCTGTAACGGTTCCCGTTACAATTAGCCCTAGTTATTATTATTATTATTCTTTTTTTTCTTATTTGTTCTCCGGTACTTTTTTGTCCGGAAGTGTTCTCAGAAACTGTTCACCCAACTAAGTTAAAACCTTTTTAGGGTTAATAGGTGTGTAGTGTAGGTGTGCGGAACGAAGGTCATTTTGCGCGCATGCGCCTGCACGTGCGTGCGCGTGATATGAGTGAAATGACTGATATACTTAATAAAGCTATAACTTTTACATTTTTTAATAAAATTATTTGAAACTCATTATATAAAGATATATTAATAGTGTAGATAATGTGACACTGTCAAATTAGCACGAACTCACGCGCATGCACGTGCGCTTTGCTCTGATTGGCTGAAACAAAAATCTCAATATCTTCTCTGTTTTTTGCCGAAATGCTTTGAAATTTAAGACATAGGCATGCTTTAGGATATCCTACAATATGGTATATAAGAATTTTCATCAAATCACGCGCATGCACGTGCACTGCAATCTGATTGGCTTAAACTTTAAATGGCTATAACTCCCTTGTTTTTCAACCAAACAGCATGGGATTTAGAACATAGACAAACTTAATGGACTCCTAGAAGAAGATATGGTCATGATGAACATGCTTGCACGTGCATGAACGTGCGCTTAACTCTGATTGGCTGAAACAAAAATCTCAATATCTTTTTTGTTTTTTGACGAAATGCTTTGAAATTTAAAACATAGGCATGCTTTAGGATATCCTACAATATGATATATAATAATTTTCATCCAATCACGCGCATGCACGTGCGCTGCAATCTAATTGGCTGAAACTTTAAATGGCAATAACTCCCTTGGTTTTCAACCAAACAGGATGGGATTCAGAACATAGATAGATATTGTAGACTCCCACAACAGGGAATGGTCATCATGCACATGCATGCACGTGCGTGCACGTGAAATGAGTAAAATTCAAAATACACTATATTAAACATTTTTTTGGATTAAATGCTGTAATATTTAGCATATTAAAATATATCAGTAGTGTAGACAAGATGATATGGTCATTATGCACATGCATTCATATGCGCATGCGTGCAATGCTGAAATTGAATACTTCTGGTAAAACTTTGTTTAAGTCTTAAATGTATCGCGTTTGTCTTATTTAATGAAGCTTACAGGGAATAAGGCACCAAAAGGGAGGTGGGGAGCGTTTGGGGAACATCTGTAACGGTTCCCGTTACAATTAGCCCTAGTTATATATGCCACAAACTGATATCTACTCGTGTCATTACATCTGACAAGTCGTTACATGTAAACATGTAAATAAATCAAAATTATCTGACAAGTCGACATGATACTTTTTTTGACAAGTAGACATAATTTTCTCACAAGTATCTGAAAAGGTTACTTATTTATCTGATAAGTCGAAATAACATTACCCATATTAATACAAGTCAACATTATTATTTTATAAGTCGACTTGTCAGATATTATTTTGATTTTCTCAGATACTTAATTATCACGTCGACTATTGTCGATAAAAAAAAATTGTCAACTGGATGACACAGCCATAGTGTGGACACTATTTCTTGATTATTTTTTTGTAACGTAAATAACTGGCAAGTCAATGAGAGGATCTGACAAGAAGTGGATACAATAATGTTTTAAAAATTATAATTTGACAAGTGTAGGCAGAACTATACCACCATATTGTTTGTCAAAACGTCTTATGATCAAATCAAGTGGATTAATGTGTATTAGTCATACTGGTTACAAAACTTTGAAGATATTTGTTTGCTTTTTTTACTTTCATTATATATTATATTGAATAAAGAGAGAAAAAATATGAAAATACATCCAATATTTGTTATTATACTGTTGATCATAAACACAATCAAACTTTTAACCTCGTTAAATCCATGCAGTTTTATTAAAACTGCATGAAAATAAAAAAAAATATACGACTATATATCAAGATTAACTGTTACGTGAACAATTTTCATTCATCAATGTGGGGTTAGGGCAGAGTTTTTTTTTTTTTTTTTTGGTTAATTTTTTTTTTTTTTTTTTTTTTTTTGAAAACTTACAGCCAAAAAATGCTTAAAACTCGACAATCCCTTTTTTCGGGGGAGGGGTGGGTGGGTTAGGGGGTTAGCCTTTTTTCCACAAACAAATTTTAATAAAACGTGTGCATTTACATAAATCGATTTGAATGCTGCTACAAAAAAGTGGTGTAGTCGCCCATTTTCTGAACATTTTAAATGCTTCGTTTAGAAGAAAACTGAGGGTCCCTTCTTACCATTACTACTTGCCTGACTATTACCTGTTTTTCTGCAATGTTAAAATTGTTCTTTTCCGAATTAAAACATTGTTCTAAAATTTAGAACTAGTATCCCCGTAATCTTATATATTTTCTAATGTAATTAAATAGAATAAATGCAAAATAAACTGTTATCATTCAACTTCTAGTAATTTGGAATTCTTAAAAGACTTGTTTTGATTGAATGACATGTAGTATCCAAAACACACACACACAAAATAATTAAGATATATTTGATTCCTTTTTTTTCTTCAAGCAATTACGATATGAATCAATGAAATGGACCGCCCTGGTTTTGTCCAGAAAACGCCTTTGAAATCAATAGGTAAGAAAGTGATTTTTTCCCCCTGATTTTTCTTATGTAAAATTGAATCGTTGGATGTGAATGGTTTCCTTGACAACTGAGGTAATTCTTGCGTCGAAAACGGTATTCGTAATACTCAAACTGTAAGATGAAGATAAAAGGTCAAAAATATTTATACACCTAATTTACATAAGTAAGATATTTTTAACAGGTGCTCAAGATATCCTGAAACTAGAATTTGACAAATGTGGACATCTCAGAAAAGAGGGAGGGTTAGAGAGGACCCTTCTCAGCAAGTTTGTCAAGTGTAAGTGTTATGCCTAGGTCACATTTAAGCCGATGGTCGGGCGACTAAATTTTTCTGGTCTTGTCGGCTGAAAGAACATGATCGGCCGAAACAAGTATCGGGAGACACGGAGCAGTCACATTATTTCCTTGGAACACCGATGACTTGGATAAATAACACAAGAAATCTTTTTTCTTTAGATATCAGCAATATTTTTTCATAGATCTATATTCAGATAGGTGCCGTGAGTAATGTTTGCAAGGCAAAGTGGCAGAATCTTTTAAAATTGTGACTCAATGTTGAAAATGTATGCAAAATTTTGTATAGAATTGCATAAAAAACGACAAATGGTGCATATCTAAGCAGTAGCTGCAGATCTGTAGCTATCCGAAAAAATATATATTGATAGACCGGATAGCTACAGTGCCACCCATTGAAAAAACTGTATATTTATTGCGCACGAAAAAGTGCGCTCGGTTCTTGATTATTTCTTCCAAATTCTTACCTCAATTGCAAAAGAGGGAAGATTTAAAAAAAGTTTCTCTCTCCTCTATCAAGTACATTCGTAGTTGACATCTGAACGAAGCATACTGGACCGAATTATCTTTGAAACCAAAATGGCAGTATTTATAATAGAAATGTTTGATGATCACAATATCAGGGTCAGGAGGACTATTAACAACAATTGTGACGAATGTTTTGTTGTGGAAAGAGTCAAAGAATATGTTAGGAACACACGGTTAGTAATATTTTGAGATTACAGTTTTAGGAACATGGAGAAATAAATCGAAAACCGAGCGCACTTTTTTGTGCGCAATAAATATACAGTTTTTTCAATGGGTGGCACTGTAGCTATCCGGTCTATTAATATATATTTTTTCGGATAGCTACAGATCTGCAGCTAATCTAAGCAGCAAAGAATACTTAATATTTCTTTGAATCTTACGGATTAATTATTTAAGTTATTTCCGTTCAAAAAATATATATCATTCCTTGCATCAAAGTTTTGTTTGTGTTATGTATCCTTAATAGGTTAAATATTTATAAGTCGGCCAGTCGTCGCCCGATCATCGAGCTCTGAGATACAGTTTGATTTTAACCGTCGGCCGAAATTTTAGACACTCTTACTGTCCAACGACGAACGAACGACTTAATAAACTGGCTGCCGATGGTCGGACGATGATCGAAGGTCGGTCGACGGATAACTTCAATTGAAGAAATCGGCCACCGACGCAGAAAAAATTATAACTTGGACCGATGGACACAAAATTGGTCGGCCGACAAAAAAAGAGGTTAAAATCGGCCAAGACAACGGCCGATGAACTGCCGACTGTCACCCCAAGAATCCCGATTTTGCTTCAAAACCCGTCGGCCGTTGGTCGTTTTTAGCTCACCTGAGCCGAAGGCTCAAGTGAGCTTTTCTGATCACATTTTGTCCGGCGTCCGTCTGTCTGTCCGTCTGTCTGTCTGTAAATTTTTCACATTTTCGACTTCTTCTCAAGAACCGCTGGGCCAATTTCAACCAAACTTACCATAAAGTATCCTTGGGTGAAGGGGATTCAAGTTTGTTCAAATGAAGGGCCACGCCCTCATTCAAGTGGAGATAATTGGGAACTAATGAAAATTTGGTGGCATATTTTAAAAATCTTCTTCTCAAGAACCACTGTGCCAGGAAAGATGAAACTTACGGGGAGACATCCTCAGGTAGTGTAGATTCAAATTTGTTCAAATCATGACCCCCGGGGGTAGGGCGGGGCCAAAATGGCCGACCAAAGTTTTACATAGAAATTCAAGAACCGCTGGGCCATTTTCAACCAAACTAACCTCAAATTATCGTTGGCTGAAGGGTATTCAAATTTGCTCAAATGAAGGGCCACGCCCTCATTCAAGGGGAGATAATTGGGAATTAATGAAAATTTGGTGGCATATTTTAAAAATCTTCTTCTCAAGAACCACTGTGCCAGGAAAGATGAAACTTACGGGGAGACATCCTCAGGTAGTGTAGATTCAAGTTTTTTAAATCATGACCCCCGGGGGTAGGGCGGGGCCAAAATGGCCGACCAAAGTTTTACATAGAAATATATAGGAAAATTCTTTAAAAATCTTCTTCCCAAGAATGACAAAGCCATAATTCATCATATTTATATGGGAGCATGCTCAGGTAGTGTAGATTCAAGTTTGTTCAAATCATGACCTCCGGGGGTAGAGCGGGGCCAAAATGGCCGACCAAACTTTTTATAAAAATATAAAGGAAAATTCTGTAAAAATCTTCTTCTCCAGAATGACAAAGCCATAATTCATCATATATATATGGAAGCATGCTCAGGTAGTGTAGTTTCAAGTTTGTTCAAATCATGACCCCCACGGGGTACGTCGGGGCCAAAATGGCCGACCAAAGTTTTACATAGAAATATATAGGAAAATTCTTTAAAAATCTTCTTCCCAAGAATGACAAAGCCATAATTCATCATATTTATATGGAAGCATGCTCAGGTAGTGTAGATTCAAGTTTGTTCAAATCATGACCCCCGGGGGTAGAGCGGGGCCAAAATGGCCGACCAAACTTTTACATAGAAATATAAAGGAAAATTCTTTAAAAATCTTCTTCTTAAGAATGACAAAGCCATAATTCATCATATATATATATATGGAAGCATGCTCAGGTAGTGTAGTTTCAAGTTTGTTCAAATCATGACCCCCGGGGATAGGGCGGGGCCAAAATGGCCGACCAAAGTTTTACATAGAAATATATAGGAAAATTCTTTAAAAATCTTCTTCTCAAGAATGACAAAGACATAATTCATCATATTTATATGGAAGCATGCTCAGGTAGTGTAGATTCAAGTTTGTTCAAATCATGACCCCCGGGGGTAGGGCGGGGCCAGAATGGCCGACCAAAGTTTTACATAGAAATATATAGGAAAATTCTTTAAACATCTTCTTCTCAAGAATGACAAAGCCATAATTCATCATATTTATATGGAAGCATGCTCAAGTAGTGTAGATTCAAATTTGTTCAAATCATGATCCCCAGAGGTAGGGCGGGGCCAAAATGGCCGACCAAAGTTTTTAAAGATATATATAGGAAAATTCTTTAAAAATCATTTTCTAAAAAATAGCAAATCCAGGATTGGTAATGGGACTACTTTTGGATTTAAACTTTACAATAAAAAGCCATTTTCTACTTTTTCCTACCCTTAGTGCTCAGGTGAGCGATGTGGCCCATGGGCCTCTTGTTGGTAATGTGACTGGGGTTTTAATGTTCAACTCATTTCGATTGTTCTTTTATATTCTTTTAAACATTAATATTATAGATTTACATCCGTTCACCTATTTTTTTTTAAAAGATTGAAGGAAAATTTTCTTTGTGGTAAGGATATGAAATCTCATCGAAATAATCCATATCTGTAATTATAGTAGTTATTAAAAAGAACCTTAAAAACATTTTTGCATACAGATACACTGTACTTAGATCAAAATTCGATGTTTTATTACAGGGAGACAATTCTTTGTCGTCTTAAGAAATGGATGTTGTTATGTTTTCGATAATGACCAATCTACACAATCAAAAACTGCGTTCTCTTTAGAGAACTATTGTCGGTAGGTATTATAACGTTACCCATTTAGTAAATTGATATCGTGTATAAAATGTAGAATATTAATAACCATAGCAAAGAATTCCATTCATATTAAATATTAGTCTTTTTGCAAAAAATTAAAAATGAAAATCTTTAATCCGAGTAATGTTTCCGAAGAAGCTCAGCAAAAAAGTATACTAAACTTTAAATTAAAAACAATTAAAACAAAATTGTGAAAAAAACTCGCGGCAATTCATTATAATAATCTATTTAGATTAGAATGCTTTACCAGAGCAGATATGGAGAATTGTTTTAAGGTTATCCCTAGGTCCGGCCATGAGGAACTACTGAAGGAGCACTGCTTTTCTGCCTCCGACAACCAAACGCGACAGGCCAGTCAAACTTCAGTCATTTTTTAATCCATTTATATATTATTATGTATACATATTACCATAATCAACATTTATTTACTTATTCTGCCAGATTGAATAGCGTATAATCATAATATTTATTTATTAATGTTTCCATACCTACAAGTTTAAAACCAAATGCTGCTTTTTTGTCCCCCGCTTTCGCATTCGCCTCTCCGACTGTCCTCAGTCTGTCCTCACAAAACTTTAACCTTGCCCATAACTTTTAATTTAGTGGAGCTATGACTTTCTTTATGATTTCACATGTGTGTTCCTTGTGACAAGACCTTTCTTGGGTACCACCAAATTTGACCTTTTGCCCTTGGAGTTTGACTTTTACACAAAAATTCCAAACTTTTACTTTGGCCATAGCTTTTGAATGGCAGGTACTAGGACTTTCATATTTCACATATATATTCTTTGTGACAACACCTTTCATTGGATACCAACAATTTTAATCTTTTGACCTTGGAGATTTATGTACTTATGTAAAAACTTTAACATTGACCATAACTTTTGAACGGTAAGGGCTAGGGCTTTTGTACTTCACATGTGTAATTCTTGTGAGAAGACCCTTCATTGGACACCAAGAACTTTTACCCTTTGACCTTGATCTTGGAGTTTGAACTATTTTTTAAAAACTTTAACCTTGGTCACAACTTTTAAACGGTAGATACTAGGACTTTCATATTTCACATATGTATTCTTTGTGGCAAGACCTTTCATTGGATACCAACAATTTTGACCTCTTGACCTTGACCTGAGATTTACTTACTTATGAAAAACTTAAACCTTGACATAACATTTGAACGGTAAGGGTTAGGGTTTTCATCCTTCACATATGTATTACTTGTGACAAGACCTTTCTTAAGAAACCAACAACTCAGACCATTTCACCTTGGAGTTTGACCTATTATCATTTTACAAACAGCATGACAGTTTGCTTGATGGGGCGTGCTAAAATTTTGTGTGCTGGTTATCATTTTGCTCATCGATTGGATCAATGAAATCAATGAAATCAATACTAATTTGCATATGAAACTCGGAATACAACAATAGCCTGATAATACTGATGGGTTTTTAAATACGTATAAGAAAATTTAAAGAATGAACTAGTAAGGCTATTCTGCTTCTGTTGTACTATATATGTACGTTGCTCTATCAATATCATCATTATAGGAAGTAAAACTTGCTTTGTCCGTTCACGTGTTATTGTTGTTTATTCAAGCGATTGGTCAGTATTGTCAGTGGTATTGCTGTGTTCTGTGTTTCATATGCAAAGTATTGTTGATTCCATTGAAATCAAACATCCAATCGATGAGTAAAATGATAACCAGCAAACAAAATTTTAGCACGCCCTATCAAGCAAACTGTCACGCTGTTAGTAAAACGATAATACTTTTCAAATATTTATCCTCGACTATAGCTTTTGAACAGGTGGTTCTGGAGATATTGTAGTTCACAATTGTATTTGTTGTGAGAAAAACCCTACTTTGGGTAATAATATATTTAATTTGCATTTAGAAAATTTTAACTTCGTTACATGTATATTGCCGTTCGGGGTCATCAGTGTTTCATAAACACATCTTATTTCTTATATTGAGAAGAGATAGGGCTTTCATATATGACATGTGCATTACCTGTGACAAGATGATTCTGAGCATGTTATGATTTCTTACCCCTTGACCTTGACCTTCACGATTATTTTTAAAAAATGAACTTCAATGATGATTTCTAAATAAATGACATATGATAGGGTGTTCATATTAGACACAATACCGGTATGTCATAAAAATAAACATCTCACCCACAAAGAACCGAAAGCGGGGGACCACAATTCTTTGAATTTGCTTGTTTCACTTTCTTTAATATGATTACACACACACCCAGTAGAGCTACAGTCTCGTGAGAGATTTCTGGTTCATGTTTGCATTTCAGATTGATATCGTTCCTCTGTCGTTAAGATTGAAAAAAAAAGTTTCATGTAGTAACATGTCTACAAACGTTTCATTCTTTTAATTTTTTATACCAACCTCCACTTATCCAAGGCTTCCAGAATCGAAACAATACGTGATGGCAAACTTACGTCTTACAAATATTTCTCATTTTTTGATCTGGATCGTTCTCAAATAAATTATACTCGTCTCTTTTATGTTGGGTACTCCCTTTTTTTGCAGGAGTGGCTTATCGCTATATACAAGGCTTTACATGTTGCAAACAACTTGACATTGCCAACTGAAATGTAAGTGACTGTCATAGAATTAAAAAGAACCCAGAAATTTTGTGTTCACAATATGCACGTGTGTTTTTAACAATTCATTGAAAGCTATTTTACTTCTAGAACGAAAGATGGTTGGAAGGTGGATATTTTTGGGAAAGGGACTGATCCTAATCGTTACAGCTACATAGATGAGATGCCAGAAGACTTCCTGAAAGACCTCCCTAAGGACTCACCGAAAACCGCGAAAAAACGCTACTCTAGGTTGCCACGTAAAGTTTATTTGATATTTGTCTTTATAATTCTAAAATACTCAGTACCATATACATACATTATATACCGGTAATACTCTTAAGAGCTTTTTACTAGACTTACATGAAACGACCATCTTTTCAGCAATACCATCAATAAACAGAACCAAAAGTTTGCCAGCTCGTCCCATGACACCAAAGAGTAGTTCTAACGACTCGGTGAGCAATGATTCTGACGACTCGCCATCTGACAACTATGACGACATTCTAATGGAGCCACCAACCACGAAGCCCGAGCCACCGACCGCTAAACCGGGTAAACTAGCTCGGTCTGTGTCTGAGTCATATAAAGCTAGACCCCAACCAGCCGTTCCCGTAAATGAAAGAGACGAAATATCGCGCCCGGGTTCGTATCTCAGTCCTAAAGCTGAGGTAAATATCCTTTCATTAATAATTCCGTGATTGAATTATATTATTTTTTATGGGAAATCTCAATTTTTCAGGTGGCTGACTTGCCTCTCTTTGAAGGGAATTCTCCAAAGGCTAAAAGGTAAGAGAGAGAGAGAGAGAGAGAGAGAGAGAAGGAGGAGGAGGAGAGAGATTTGAAATCAATATTTAGATAATCTTTAAATTTGTTATAGTGCAATAAAAGATGAAGCTGTTGGAACATTTCTCATTCGGAAGTCTAATACGGGTGGCGATAAAGTCATGTTTGTAAGTATGTAACAAGTCTAATGTAAGTTATGTAATTGACAGACAACCAACTGGACTTAAAAGTGGCAATTGCGATTAAATTTCTGTGCACAAAGATACCTGGTATTTGTTTATTTTTTAATACGGCGTACACAAATTAAGTCTGAAAAGAGTTTTGTTCAAAGTCCTTTTGCTCTTTGATCAGTAAAGCTGGACTCGATTCGTAGAAGGATTTTGTCCGCCATATTCTTCTATTCAGTCGTTATATCTGAGGATCATTATATAAGGTATTCACTTAGTCATTGTTCAGTGCCTGTGTAGACGGACTTTCATGTATGCTATATCACTAATGTACACACTGGGTAGCAACAAAAATAACAGTTTGCGCTTATTCCAGGAGTGTAAGAAACCAAGAAACTTATAGCAGTTGCACAGGTCAGTGCAGTAGCACATACAAACAAAAACAGATACACGTAAATTGCAATATAAATAGGGTAATTAAGGAATGGATTTTTAAAATAGTTATAAAGTAATTTATTTATTTTATTCAATACCTATTTTTGCCTGTAGGTATTGGTTGTCTCAGGTCCTGCTGGTGAATTACAATACAGGATATACAAAAAGGTATGGGGCACTTCATCGTCGCAAACCACGACCAAAATGTACGATCCTCTCCCATTCTGTAGGAGAGAGCTATATGCGGACTCCGGACTGTGGCTTGAGACGATGGGGTCACTTTAAATCACAATCATTTTCATGTTGTAATTAATATGCATATTATTTGTTTCTGTTCATGTGCGTTTTATTGGTTGGGGTGGGGATACTGTTGCATTCTTGTTTCTAGCAAATCGCAAATTTTGACATTTTCTGATAAAGATGAGAATTTTTAGCTTTAAAATTACCAAAATATATCAATTTGACCAAATGCGGAAAATTTAGAACCAATTTAATTTTTTTCTTTATATAAAGTTTACAGAAAAAATATTTCAGTGTATGGAGTAGACATACTTCGCGTACTTCCAGTTCCAGTACACGACCTCTGTGCCACAGTGGTCGTGTACTGGAAGTGGAAGTACCATTTTAAACTTAAAGCTGACATGAACTCTTAAAAAGGCATCAGTTTTCATCTTTGTACGACTTAATACATTATTTGTAGAAGTCCATAAACTGACCAAATACACGTTTGAAAAGTGAGAATTCAACAAAAAAAAAAAAAAAATAGAAGTATACCGAGAATTAAATTATTTTTGAATGCATTTTGCTGCAATATAGAAAATACACTAACACAGAATACATTCATGTACAGCAAAAATCCATGCAGGTCGAGAAAACGCGTCAAACGCAGTAATAAAACATTTACCTGAATACTGCTATCGTTACAGGGATGTGCACGTGTCGAAAGAATTATCCTATTTTACTTTTATTGAAAAATGCATCTCAGAAGTCATGTAATCCATTGCTAACTCAACAGTAAAAGATGCTTGGACACACGTGGCCCATGCCGATCATTTTATTTGGTCAGGGAAAATATCAAAAGTTGAAAGCTCAGTGGGGTTGATTGAAAAAAAAATGCAAGTAATTTTTTTTTTTCAAAAATAAACATTACTCTTGTCTGTAAATGTTGTAAATAATATTTATGATTACATGGTTTAGCTTCATTAAATTTATAATAAGGCATCATTATTACGAATCATTAACTTTTTGAAGATATTTTCCTGTGATAGGAGGTGGGGGTGTAATAAAACATGCATATTAACACTCTCTTGGCTTTATTAGCCCTAATATAATTTGATTAAAAGTTATTTTAAATTTTATGCACAATGAAAGAAAAAGTGAGCAAGTTCACATACCCCACGCTCCCCCAAAAGTCGAAGTGCTGAAATTCCCAGAAAAAAATAAAGGAATCGTAATTTACTTGTAATATGCACATCTCGTATACACATTGTGTCCTAAATATCTGCAAATTTTGACGAAATTGTGTGCAGCGGTTTATGAGGAATTGCGCTGACAAACTGCTCATCTCTATGTTCAAGATATGGCCAAAATCTAAATGTAAAATTGCAGAAATTCCCGAAAAAGTAAAGAATTCGGAATTTCCTAGTGATGTGCAAATCTAAACACACATTGTCTCCTATAAATATCTGCTACGGAAGCGTATTAGTGCCACTTGCACACTTTACTTTTTTTTAATTTCGACACTTTAATCTGTAAATTTCACACTTTAAAGTGTAAATTTTACACTTTAATCTGTAAATTTTACACATTAATCTGTAAATTTTACACTTTAAAGTGTAAATTTTACACTTTAATCTGTAAAATTTACACATTAAAGTGTAAATTTTAAACATTAATCTGTAAAATTTACACTTTAATCTGTAAATTTTACACTTTAAAGGGTAAATTTTACAATTTAATCTGTCAATTTACACTTTAATCTGTAAATTTTACACTTAAATCTGTAAATTTTACATTTTAAAGTGTAAATTTTACACTTTAATCTGTAAATTTTACACTTTAATCTGTAAATTTTACACTTTAAAGTGTAAATTTTACACATTAATCTGTATAATTTAAACTTTAATCAGTAAATTTTACACTTTAATCTGGAAAATTTACACATTAATCTGTAAATATTACACTTTAATCTGTAAAATTTACACTTTATTTGTTTATTCACATTTAGCTTCATCACACATCCTCAGTAACACATTTGTAAGCAATAAAATGTTAGTTTAAGCAAATTTTCTTAATTTATAGGATTTACAGATTATATCACAATTGTGTCATCCATATGTTATTTATGTGAAAAAAGTCTAACAGGCCCTGGAATCTATATTGGGGGGGGGGGGGTCCGCAAGCACCTGTGATCGGGAATATGTGCATGTATGTTTGATATGCTCTTCACTTTATATTCAAAGAAAAATTTTATTTTAATATAAAACATCAGGATTAAATTTTATCATACACGAAACATTGTCTGTTGGCCTAAAAATGTGTTACTGAGGATGTGTTAAGATGCTAAATTGACTGTGTGAATAAACAAATAAAGTGTAAATTTTACAGATTAAAGTGTAAAATTTACAGATTAAAGTGTAAAATTTACAGATTAAAGTTTAAATTATACAGATTAATGTGTAAAATTTACAGATTAAAGTGTAAAATTTACAGATTAAAGTGTAAATTTTACAGATTAAAGTGTAAAATTTACACTTTAAAATGTAAAATTTACAGATTAAAGTGTAAAATTCACACTTTAAAGTATAAATTTTACAGATTAATGTGTAAAATTTACACTTTAAACTATAAATTTTACAGATTAATCTGTAAAATTTACAGATTAATGTGTAAAATTTACAGATTAATGTTTAAAATTTACAGATTAAAGTGTAAAATTTACAGATTAAAGTGTAAAATTTACAGATTAAAGTGTAAAATTTACAGATTAAAGTGTAAATTTTACAGATTAATGTGTAAATTTTACAGATTAATGTGTAAAATTTACAGATTAAAGTGTAAATTTTACAGATTAATGTGTAAAATTTACACTTTAAAGTGTAAAATTTACAGATTAAAGTGTAAATTTTACAGATTAATGTGTAAAATTTACAGATTAAAGTGTAAAATTTACAGATTAAAGTGTAAATTTTACAGATTAATGTGTAAAATTTACACTTTAAAGTGTAAAATTTAGACTTTAAAGTGTAGAAATTAAAAAAAAGTGAAGTGTCCAAGTGGCACTAATACGCTTCCGTAATCTGCAAAGTTAGACAAAACTCTGTGCAGTGGTTTATGAGAAGTTGCGCTGACCAAAAAAAATAAGGGATTGACTGACGGATGAAAAACATTATACCTCGCGCAACTTGTTGCGAGTTTGATTCTGTGGTACAATGATAATGAAAATAGAATTTAATGTGAATTAAATTTCTAGACATAAATAATTAATGATTATTAGAAAAAACATATATATATATAGAGAGAGAGAGAGCAAATCCCCCGTGAGAAATCATCATTCTACATACAATTATCTTTTTAAAAATTCTCTTGTCTGTTGTCCAGGTCCAGGTTCGACAAGTACGTTTGAGCATAGGCGTCGGAACCGGGGTGTGTGGCTTTTTTTTTTTTTTTTTTTTTTTTTTTTTTTTATTTTTTTTTTTTTTTTTGGGGGGGGGGGGGGGGGGGGGGGGGGCGCCCCCCCCCCCCCCCCCCCCCCCCCCCCCCCCCCCACTTTCCACAGACAAGTCGCAGTTACTGAAGTTCACCCACCCACCCCTCCATTCATGTTTTGGAAAAGGACATTCTGTTGTTTTTTTTTAGCTTGTCAGATTTTTTCGAATGTATAAAAAAAAAATTTCTTTGCACTTATCCCCCCCCCCCACTTTCGATCTGCTTCCGACGCCAATGCGTTTGAGAAGATAGTATACACTTATCCACTGGTTGTGAGTGGGATAGCTATTTTATCAAACCCGCGACAGGGAACTATTCCCCGAGGGCTTGCCCGAGGGGAATAGTCCCTGTCAAGGGTTTGATAAAAGAGCTATCCCACTCACAACCAGTCGATAAGCGTTTTATTATACTGATGTGTAATATAATTTCTAAGGTTTGAAATTTTTGGAGTAAGATAATACTGCAAGAATAATCTGAAATCCTGATGACGTCACAATGCTACTGAAGTCATTATGACATCATCAGTCTATAGATCTATCGCTGGAAATCAAAATTGGAGGCAAAAATTGAATGAAAATTTTCCGAGGGTGGATAGCAAAAACTATACCCCGGGGTATAGCTTTGCTATGCATGAACTATAAAAGATAGTTATTTTACCTTCTTAACTTTATATAGGAAACATTTTAACAGAAGTATAATAATTCCCAATGTTCCTATTCCTGTGATGTATATTTTACGTTTATTATATCCGCCGCTTGAAAAGTGGGAGGGTATATAGTAATCGTTATGTATGTCCGTCTGTCTGTTACGCTTTGGGGTACCCATCTCTTATCCGCAAATCCTCTTATACCACTTAGTGAAATTTAATGAAACTTTCACAGAATCTTAGGTTTATTACATATTACCATTGTGCACCTCCTATTTTACTTTTTGATCCGAATCGTATTTTGGGTTTAGCGACAACAGCAAAATATGGACTTTGCCATTATAACCATATGGGAGGCGGGGTATCATTTAGTGAGCTCATTGCTCACAATACCTCTAGTTTCTCTTTCAATTTGGGCGTTTGGGTTAACTTCTTGTCCAAATTAAAATTATTATTCAATTTATGAAGTTTCGATATCCTGCCTGAAAAAAATCCTTGATCTGTTCTAAGGCTTAATAAATGGTACAGCACAAAGTGTGTAGGATCTTATACCTATTATTGCCCTAACGTATGGTTAGAAAGAGAGAGAGAGAGAGAGAGAGAGAGAGAGAGAGAGAGAGAGAGAGAGAGAGAGAGTTAGTTCAATATACAAAAGAGTAAATAAAAATTATCCGTATTCAACCAGTGTCAAGTATCCCTACCCTAGCTTTTAAAATTATCTCCCAAATACTCCTAAAGAAATTATTTTTATATAAAAAAAATGGCTAGACTATCAGGCAGGGATACTGAAATCTCGAAAGACTCTATATAACAA